CGATCCCCTGTCGCCAAAGATGGAGCCTTCGAAGCCCCATCTCCTCCCTAAATCTCGCCGATGTTGTTGCCCGCTGCCCCTACTGCCACCTGTAGGCATATAAAATTGCTTATAGGTCCCTTAGCTCAGCTCGGCACGAACCGACAAACCAACGAGGCGACGAGATCGACGAATCGCACGCAAGCAACGGAATACATCCATTCGCGTGCGGGATCAAGCCAAGTGTTCGAAGAGTCAACGAGTCATCCAACCAAGAGCATACTCGGACGAACCACGATCGAATCAAGATCGGTTTCGGACTCGGCAGAACCGGAAAACGGGCACAAAGAGGCAAAACGACAAACACCTAGGTGGCCGGCCACACTGTGCCCAAGGCACAGTGAGGGTAGCCTATAAATAGGCCACCCCCTTGTTCATTTGAGAGGGTTGGAAATTTTGGAGAGAGGCGAAGCCCTGCTGGATTGGAGACTCAGAACTTAACAAGATTCAAGCTTTGGGACTTCGAGGACTTGCACATCCAGATCTGGTGCTCGACGATCATCAACGCCAAATAAGGCAGGAGTTCGAGAGGACCGGATCTCAGATCTACGTTGCTACACTCCGGATCTAAGCTTGGTCTTAGATCCCGAGACTTGGACGATTGTTTCCTTGGTGAAACAATCCTCCCCGGCTATTATTTCCTTGGTGAAATAATACCCGTTGTACTGCGTAGATCCGACCGGATCTAGATCGCGCGGTGGTCCACGGCAAACAACCCCGGCGCAGGCAAAGAACCTACCAAGCGAACGACCGCAAAACAGGAGCTCGCGATTCGTTCGACACAAAAGGAGAAAAGTTGTAATCTTTGTTTATTTTTATTTGATTTTCGTTGTAACCGGATCTTATAAAAAGACCGGATCTTTTGTAACTCAAAAAGTTATAACTCAAGATGACAATGGAATCAATAACAAAGAAACCTACGATTTTCCCCGCGAACAACCTCCTTAGGGTAAAACCAAGGCAAAACGACTCCTCAGTCGAGTGGGAGCCACCGATCTCGCTGCCGAGATCGGAGCGTCGCAGCCGCGGATCTTGATCCCAGTCGTGGAGGAGGTCGAATACGAGTTCGATCAGACCAAGTTCGAGGAGTACCTTTCATCCCCGTCTAGATCGACCTCCCCCCGCAAGTCCAAGAAGTCCAAGTTCTCTTCCAACAGAAAGGTGCGTTGGTACGAAGAAGTTGAAGCTACCAACGACGACCTCATCTCGATTGACGCCAACGTTGCGTCAGATGAGGCTCCACCAACCTCCAACCAGATCAAGCTGGTTCCAACCAATTCCTCCGTCACCAAAGGAGCGGTGACTCTCTCAAAGAGAGCCCGCCAAAGGCAACGCCAACGCTTGGCCAAACAATTCGCCAAAGCGATGGAGTCCACCGACGGAGTCCGCTACAACGCGGGTCTGAAGAACGAGAGAGGCAAACAGCCTCAGCAACAAATGAACGGCGCCTCTTCCAAGTCGCCAATGATGGAATGGGTCCGTGTCAAACGAAATCGTTCGACACTGGAAGAACGCATCCGCAAACGCCGCGCACTATCAGCGCAGGCACGGGTTCAAGCCGAAGAAGCTCGTCGGAAGTTGCAGAAAGAAGTGGCCAAGAAGCCGCCACCAACTCGCAAAGTTTGGAGGCCGAAGTCT